GGGCCCAGACTGTGTGGAGTCGATGGTTCGGGGGCCCCAGGGGCGATGGCATGCGGCCGCCGCACGCCGGCCGTGCCAGGTTGCACGTGGCTGCGCCAACCACTGCGGCTGCTGCATGCAGGCGTGGGCGGCACGCTGTTGGTCCCCCATTCCTGCGAGCGGCCCCGGCGCACCCTCCATGGTTGATGTGTTCGGCGACGCTGCCGGTATGTCTGGGTTGGCGAGGCCCTGCACAGGCTCTGGCTGGCCGCCCGCCTTCAGGCCCAGCGCCCGCGCCCTGCCGGCCGGCGAGGCTGTCTCATCGCTGGTCTGAGTCAGGCCGGTCTGGAGCATGCGCCTGGCCCCACCGCGCCAAGTAAACGCCTCCGCGGCCGGCAAGGCGAGGACGAGAAGGAGCAGCAGCAGCAGGGGCGGCGCCGCTGCTGTAGCGGACCGGCGTTTGAGCATCGGAATGAGGGTTGCTAGGAAGGGTCTGACTGGTGCCGTGCGCGGCCGACCGCCGGCCGGCCCGGCCATGACCATCGCGACCGCCACTGATTTTGACTTTTCTAGAAATCACGTCGACCGCGGCGAGACCTAAAGCGAGACGGCCCGCAGTGAGAGGCGCCGGTAATCACCAGGTGAGCGTGTTTGCCGGGTGACGCGGGTCGCGACACGGGTGAACGCAAGTGGATGTTACTGGAATACACGTACCTGCCCACACAGGCCAGCACACTGGCCCCTTTCCTTGATCTGCGGTGCTGCTCCCTCTCTGGAAGCTCTCAACAATTCGGATCGGGATTATCAATGGATTCAATGTGATATCAGTTCCGGTGCCACATGCACCGGCGTGGTATAGGTTCAGCTGACACTGAGGTGACTCGACCTCGCTTCCCACTCTTTTCTACGTCGTCTAAGTTCTCGTCCCACGAACATGAGAGTCACTACCGCGCAGCTGCGACGCACAATCCTGATCAAGCTTTGCATGATCATGCAGCCATTCCAAAGAGTGGGGGTCCACTATGCGCGCCGGCGGAGCTCAGCTGGGCCAGGCACCGGCCGCGACTGTTCAGCAGTTGGCCCGGCACCTGTGCCACCTGCACTTATAAAATTGATGGCCGATGTGCATCCCTACACCATGTTGTTTGTCAAGGATGGTGACTAGCAGGGTAGCACGCGGCATTCGGCGGGAGCTGGGGGCTGACGCGCCTACTGGGCCACCCTCAGCACAACCGTGCGCGAGCAGCTGCACCTCCAGTGCCGGGGGATGCTGCAGAGGCGCCGACTTGTCAACCTTCCCACTGGCTAGGTCCCCCGCTGTCAACTGTGTAGACGCCCCCCCTCACCACTGAGTGGGCGTGCTTGCTTTATTGCGGTGTGCCCAAGAAGCACGAGCTCGCTGCGGCGCGGTCGTTCTACGACACAGCGCAGCTGCAACGGCCGGGACAAAGGCGAAGCGGGGCCGGGGGCGGGGGCGCCGCGCCGGTGGGGTCAAGCTTGGCGGCGGCGGCCGACACTGGTTGAGGCCGCTGCACGCCGGGGGGGGGGGACAAGGCTGGTGTACAAGGGCTCAAATACAAACAGGGGCGCCTGGGGCGGACGGTGGACGGCAGCTGGCTTGCTCGCCGCTGCCGATGACACGATCAAGGACACAGCACACATACATGGGGTTTGGCAGTACATTGCGCCTGATTAGCCACGGGCAGCACGAGCCCCGGGGCGGCCCGGAGCTCGGCCGCAGCGTGTGGGACGCGGAGGCGTTGCTACATGACTGGGGGACATTGGGAGTTCGCGCGTGCTCCTTGGGGGGCCGCAATCCATGCAAAAGGGTTGGACGCCCTACGATGCAGCTGCCAAGGATGCCGTGTATGTACGAGCATGGCGCGGCATGAAGGTTTAGCCGGCCTTTCTGGGACACCAAGCACGACGCCGCCTCGTCACGGCCTCCTCACGGGTGCACGCGGTGCGCACGTGCACGCGTGTGCATGCATGCATGCGTGCATGCATGCGAGCATGTGTGTGCATTGGCACCTCACCCCAGCACGCTCTGCGCAAGGGCCAGTGTGCTCAGCATCCCGGCAATGCCAGCAGAGCGCGGGTCGTGGGGCGCGCCGCGCCCGCAGCCTGCGTGCAGGCGGCCGCTCTCGCCGCGGCAGCCGGCGCCGCCGCTGCGCCCGATCCTGCAGACCGCGTGGTCCCGACCGCAGCACACGCCATTGGCGGCGCGCCCGTCCCTGCGGCCGCGGCAAGGGAGGGGCAGGGCATGGGTCGGTCGTGCGGCGCGCACAGCTCGTAGCGCGGGGCGGCTGTAAGAGAGGCGCCACAGTACGCAGCGCAGCAAGCGGGCGCAAGGGCGGGGCCTTTGGCAAAGTGGAGGGCGCCCCTGCGGTCAACCCCCACACACCCAGCCCCCACGCCGCTCGCCATGCGTGCGATGCCAGCAGGGCCGCGGCGACCAGCGCCGCACATCCAGAGGCCACGATCAGCCGCCTCCCGCCGCCAACGCCGCCGCCAGCGCCCTCGGTAGCCCACCCAGGCAGCGCAGCCCATGCCGCCGCGCAGCCCCGCCGAGCAGCGTCGCGCGCGGCGGCAGCCGCGACGCGCGCGCGCTGCGAGCGCCGGGCGGTGAGCGCATGATCGCATAGAGCGCATTATGAGGCAAAAGCGGCGGCAATTGGCAGGGCAGGGGCAGCGGGAGGCGGCCAACGCGCTGGAAACGCAGCGGGGCCGCAGCGCCACTGCCTTGCACACGAGCTGCCCATGCTGTTGCCATCCCCTGCCCCCCTGGCCCCTGGCCCCTGCCGCACCTGCGCGAATGACCTGAGGGCCCTCCAAGCCCACCGCCCTGCGCGCATGGGAGCGGCCGCCGCGCCCGAGGGGGACGGCCCGCGGGGAGCGGGGACGGCGCAGCCAGGTCCCGGCGCATCGACGCCGGGCGGCGCTTCCGCCGCGCTGGCGCCCTCAGACGTGGCGTGTACGCCCTCAGCCACACCCTGGCCCCCGCCCTCCACCGCTGGCATTGGGGCCGGGGCCTGATTCACAAGGGGCGCTCCGGTCCGCAGTGCTGTAGGCTCCTGGGGCTGGGCGGCAGCTGCAGCCGCGGCACCGTTGCCGGCGGCCGGGCCCTCCTCAAGCGGCGTCCCGACGCCACCCGCCTCGGGCGCGCGTGCCGCGCCTTCGCGCGCCGGCGTCGTGGTGGCGGCGGCGGCCGCGTTGGCGTGCGCCGCTGCCTCAGGCGGTGCTGACGGGATCTCATCCGCCACGGCCAGGCTGAGGGTCTCCTCCTGGAATATCGCATCCATGCGCGGCCAAAAAGCGTGCAGCAAGGCATGAGGTCGGTCCAGCACGTATTCAAACACACGCGTAGCACGCTTCCCGGGGGCCGGCGCGCAGGGACGGGCGTGGCGCAGGTGGCGGGGCGCGAACGGCACGAGCAGCAGGGGTTTGCAGCAGAGGACGAGATCGAGTGCGAGGCCCGGAGGGGCGGACATGCGTGCGACCGCGCAAGTGACCGACCTCGGCGCTGGGCTCTGAGCGCTCCGAGTCTTCGTCAGCATGTGAGCCGCGGTCGAAGCTGCTGCGCCTGGACCTGACAAGCGCAAGCGCGGGGCAAAGGAGTGAGGTGCGCCGCGCACGGTTTCCGCTTGGTGGGACTGGCAGGCCAGGCCACCGGGGGCCGGGCAGTGCGGCGTGGCAGGGACGCAGCCGCCTGCGCAAATCTAAGGCATCTGTGTGCGCAGCTAGACGCAGCATGCTCGAGAGGTCCGATGTGGCCAGCGACGCGCCAGCCGGGGCACGTGCAGAAGAGGCCGCTGCACTCGGTGCCCCGCCACCGCTGCCGCGTCCGACGAGGCCCCGTGGCGCACCCGAGAGCGAGCGCAGAGCCGGCGCCAGGGGAGCCACCGCGCTCTGATGCCACGCGTGTCCCGCGCTCTGAAGGCGCCACCATCGTCCATTCCTCCTCGGCGAGCTCTGGGGCGCCGATGTGGGCGGTCGCGCTGGCGCCCCTGGGCGCGCTGCCCGTCACCCCTCGCCGTACAGGTTCCATGTGCTCTTCCTTCGGACTGAGTGTCCCTGTTGGCTCAGGCGCGTCCGTGCATATCAGGTTGATCGATATGGCGCGGCCCGCAATCTACAGTAGGACGAGACAGAGCCGCTAGCAAAACTCGCGGTTGGATGCCAGGTCTCGTGCGTACCTACATACAAGGTGCACGCAGCGCTTTGGTTGTTGCAGCCGTGCCTCTCGGCAGCTTCGCGTTTGAACGAATCATTCCTGATTGCTCGGCTGCCTCAGTGTACCTGGTGCGCCATTGTGCAGAGAGCTGGTGTATGCTTCCCGCTGACTCTGGCAGCCTTCAAACTAGCGCGTGCCAGGCGTTGATTGGGCTTGCCCTCTACTCCAACGGCTCGTCGCACTAAGGCGTGGCAGTAGTTTGATTGAGTCCTTGTAGCTAGAATCAGTGGGCCAAGGGCCCGGCGGGACCCCGGCATGGTGTCGCCGGGCGCTTCAAGCGCATATGCCGACGCTCGCGACACCAATGCAGAGGACCCCATCCTCTCTATCAGCAGCACAGAGTCGGACTCCGACGATTCCCTGTGCTCTTCGATGGACGCTCGCCAGGCGCGGCTGCCCCACGGCGCCGCCGCAGCCGCGGGTGCGCCATGGTGGTGGCGCATCGCGGTCAAGCGCGCCCTCGGCGCCAAGCCGCGCTCGGGCGCTGGCGGCGCGCGCAGCGTCGCCTGGGGCGCCGCGGCGGCGCTGGGGCCCTCGCCGCTGGCGGAGGTGCGGCTGGTGGCGGGGCCGCGCGCGTCGGAGCCCGACGCCCTGTCGTCGGCGGGCAGCGAGGACGCAGCGCGAGATGGGGCGGACCAGCCCAAGCAGCGGCCTGGCGGCCAGGCCACGCCCCGCTGGCGCGCGCGGGGGCAGCACCGCCTCCATCAGCAGCTGCACAGCGGCTTCCGAGACGTGCAGCAGCAGCAGCAGGTGGAGGAGGTGCCCCTCCTACCCCACCCGCAGCATCCGCGCGCCGCCGCCTGCGACGCCGAGCGCGGCGCCGCGGCGCCCGCGGCGGGGCGCGCGCCTGCGGCAGCTGCGGCGGCGCTCGCGCCGAGCGCGCACTACCTGCCCGGGGTGCGGTACCACACTGAGTGCATGCCGCGGCGCTGGTGGTCCGCGCTGGGCTGGGAGGTGCTGGGCATAATGTCGCTCATCGGATACATGGCCATCCCATTGGTGAGCAGCCACCGGGGCCGGGCCGGGGCGTGGGCGCGGGGCGCGGCGCGGCGGGCTGGCGACGGGAGGGGCCAGCGGCGTCACGCGAGGACGGCCCGGGCGGGCCAGCGGCTGCGGAGGGGCGAGTTAGGGGGTCGGTGTGAGCTCGCACTGCTGGCGAGGGAGCCGGGATGCTGCTAACTGCCCTGAACCGCCCGCCCCGCTGGATCGGCCGGGCGCCGCCGACCCCGCCCTTCCCGCCTTCGCCCGCGCGCCGCAGCACTTCACCATCATCTTCCTGCGCGCTGTCACCGGCGACGCCCGCGCGGCGGTGTTTGGCTCCGCCATCCTGGCGACGCTGCTGCTGCCCGCCAAGCCGCTGATGTGGGCGCCGTTCCTGGAGTGGGTGCTGCTCAAGTCGATCCGTCAGTACTTTGACTACTCAGTCTTGGTGGAGGACCCCCCCGCGCTGGAGCAGCGCGCGATCTGGGCGGGTGAGGCGCACGGGCGCGGCGCGGCGAACGGCGGCGCGGGGCGCGGGGCGCGAGCGGCGCGCCGCGCCGAAGTGCGCGCACATGTACCCACCTGCGCTGCCGGCGCCGAGAGGGTGCACGAAACCCTGAATCGAGCGGGGGCGCGCGCACGGCCGCCCCCGCACGCCCCCACGTCTGCACCGGACCTTCACTCAGTCATCACCATCCTCTCCGCCCCTCCAGTTGGCCTGCCCAGTGCGGCCCCCACATCCTCCGCCAGTCGTTTTACGCGCCCGGCCCCGCCCCCTTTCCCCACCAGAGTACCCCCACGGCGTGTTCCCCCTGTCCCAGCTGCTGGCCGTCAGCCTCAACCCCACGCGCTGGCCGGGCCTGCGCGCGCACTCCGTCGGGGCCAGCGTGCTGTTCAGGGTGCCGCTCTGGCGCCAGATGCTCGGCTGGATGGGCATCCGGCCCGCCAGCAGGCACCACTTCACGCGGCTGCTGCTGGACAAGGGCGCAGTCAAGGTCAACCCTGGTGGGCCCCTGCGGCGCCACCGACGCGCCCTCGTTGCCCGCTCAACCCCCGATCCCCTTGCCTCCATGCAGCCACGACAACCCCGCCCTGGTAGGCCCTTCGCTCCGCCCCAAGCCGCCCCAGTTCCTCCTTTGTGGCCCCTCGAAGCCAGCGACGCCCCCTAATTTTCTCATGTCGTTATCTGAATATGCACATTTGCCAGGCGGCATTGCGGAGATGTACCTGCTGCAGCGCGGCGCTGAGGTGATCAAGCTGGCGGACCGCAAGGGCTTTGTGCGCATTGCCGTGGAGACGGGCGCGCCCATCCTGCCCGTGTACCACTTTGGTCAGAGCCGCATGCTCAACTGGCACAGCTTCAAGG